ATTGTTGTCTCTTAAACCTTAGCAAAATCTTATTCAGCTTTTATGGGCAGGTGGGTTTTAAAATTTTGTTTTGTTTTAAAAATCAACCCTACTGTGGGATTTAAAGGAAAAATGTAACCAGGTCCTCACTTGATGTCTAGCTGGACAGCAATGCAGCACCTACTTCTATGGCCCCCTGTTACCCAGGCTCACAGATTCCTCTAAGTGTGCTGCCTCATTCTCTCTGAATTTTCCGGAAGCCTGGAGTCAGGGCTTTTCACTCTACATGGGAGTCTTCTCTACAAAGCTGCTGGCCCACCAGGCTTGCACCAGAAAACGGGGCATGAGCTATACTTAATGGGAGTTAGTTGTGTCCACCCCCTGCTTTGCCCTCAGCCAGGAGATTTGGGGGTGCTGGCATCCAGGCAAAGGACAACCCAGCTATACTAATTCTCTGCCTTTCTGCCCAATCTTTGCTCTTCTCCATTTGGGAGAAGGTTTTAATCTTCTCTCCTGTGGAGGAAAACTTAGTTGACAGCTGGATATTCTTGCAAACTCCCCTGTTTACACCAGCACCACCTCCTTTCAAAGGAAAGCCCAGGGATTCCATTCCTTTGTCTCTCTGTAGCCTCATATGCCTTCCATGCCAAGTGGTAAAGGACGAAAGGCAGCAGCGGACAAAGGAATCATGGGGATGCCAAAATGACGTCATGCTGTTATGCAAGGAATGAAAGGTTCCGACACCAGAACATTTCCACTGCTGCTTAAGAAGGCAACAGGCGTGGGGCAGCTGAGCATGTGACACTGGATCAGATAATGGGCCTGAGAACTTCCGAAGCTGTTCAAGGAGGCAGAAGATCCCACTGGAAACTGTTGATGGGGAAAGGGTTCCTCTGATGCACCCATGGCACACAATAAAGAAGACTTAAGGAGCTGCTAAACAGGATTTAGCCCACAAAGGTCTTTAGTGTCCACCGCAGCACTGTGCGAGTGTGTAAGTGCTGGGTCCTGCCAGGCTGGCAGTAGAGGAACTGAACACAAACAGAAGTTGCCTAGTCAGTGTATTTATTCTGGAGTTTTCTTAGGCTACCTAGCAGCAAGCATGCCAAAGCTATGACATTGTCATGGAGACCTAAATCGGCTTTAGAGATGCGGACTCTGGCCTGATTTCTGGGTATCATGTAAATGAAAGCTCAGGGCACTTAATTTAAAATTTCCAAACTTGTGTTAATAAATATTGTTAATTAGAATTAATATGATCAAAATAAATTATATGCCTTGAGCCCACTCCCCAAAAAAGTAAAACCAGGGGGTAGGAAAGGGCAAAGGGAGTGATGAGAGGGAAATCATAGAGTATGTTACTTGCATGTACAAATCTGCCAAAATGAAACCCTTTATTTTATATAACCAGTATGCAATAAAAAAGAAGAGTGGAAAAAAAAGAAAGCCAACCCCCCTCCAAGACCACTAGCTACATGGAGACAATGAAATAAATAATGCATACAAAATAAGGCCCAGTAGCAAGAGGAAAACATTACTAGCCACTATGTGAGTTTTTGGAGAGTTTTAAAGACTCTAATTGAAATTGTAGTTAGAGGTAGGTAAAATGCTTCATCCTCCATGTAGTCTTTGGACCAAAGGCACCAGCACCACTGGGGAAGTGGAAGGAATGCAGATTCTCAGGCCTGAGCCAGACCTGCTGACTCAGAACCAGCATTGCAACAAGCTCTCCAGGAGCTATCATGTGAGAGCTAAGATCTATGCAACTAAAATTTATTTTCACATTTTTTTTTTGGTACCAGGGATCGAACTCGGGACCTTGTGCTCCTGAGGCAGGCGGGGGAACCACTAAGCTAAATCCCCGGCCCTATTTTCACATTTTTAAAATTAGTGCATATTGGCTCTACAGTAAATGGGTTTCATTTTGGCAGATTTGTATACACACATTCGTTTCCACTCCCCCATAACCCCCCTTGCCTCATCCTCCCCAAGTTTTCACAGTTTTGGAGGGCTTCGATATGTATTATATTTTAATGATTATTTTAGAGTATACTCCTATGATAAAAAGAGCTAGCTATAATTAAAAACGATTACTGAAAGCATATATCTGTGATAGCAGATTGAAGTCTTTGGAACACTTATGTTAAAATAATATTTATTTTTATTGCAATTATTATAGGATTTTTCTGCTTGAATCTTCAACTAAGATTTTTCAGAGAAACATTTACTTTTAGTGCAGAATCATTTATGGATTGGGAAAATCAACAAAGGCAAGTTACTTCTGATTTTCGATTTAAGGAAAATTAAAATGCTACTCTTTGTTTCCTTGAAAGTAAAAGAAAGGTGGTGAGGGCCTGGAAAAGCTGATGAGGGCAGGCGAGAGTCGAAAACTGGACAGGAAGCTCAGGTGGGGTAGACAAGGGTTCTGACATCGTCAAGAAGTAGCCTTACTCCATGTGAGATCCAGGTTCATTCAGACAAAACAAAAGCTTCCTGGTCATTGGCTGCCCCTCTTACTTTATATGCATTGTAAGAGGGGGGCTGATTTTCAGGACATGGATGTTACCACAGATTGGAGAAGTAAAACTGAATCCCTGGATGCTGAGGCGTACACAGTTCATGGACACTGGGTGGGAGACCCGGTCCACAGACGCTGGGCCACGGATGTCCATGGAGCCCAAGTCAGCACACCCTTCTCATGTCAGGGCGGTGCTCTCACTTTATGCAGCTGCCTTGGGTGCACACAGAACAGCAGAGGGCACTACGTGGGCAAATGGCAAACCCTTGACTTCTTCCGGTAGCAAGGGTGTCCACAGTGAACTCTGTGGCACTGTGGCAGCCACGTGTAAACTTAGGTGGAGGCCGAGTGTGGTGGTGCACACTTGTAATCCCAGCACTGGGGAGGCTGGGGCAGGAGGATCGCCATGAGTTCCAGGCCAGTCTGGGCTGCACAGTGAGTTCAAGGCCAGCCTGAACTACATAGCAAGATCCTGTCTCAAACAAACAAACAAAAATTCCCAAAACAAAAACACAAATCAATCTTAGGTAGAAATCAGCTTTTAGCTGGAACCTAGTTCAAGAGCTGCTTTTCAAAAAAGAAAAAAAACGAAAAACAGAATTTTTTCCTGACAAGTGAGCTGGATTTTGAACCCAATTCCACCATTACAGTGGGGCAGAAAGGTAACAAGCTGGCGAGCACAGATAGCTTGGAGCCAAGAGAATGTGCTCAACCATGAGTTTGCACAAGCCAGCCTGGCTGGATGTAAAAGGGAAGAGGAAACTTTTAGCAGATACAGCCTCTCCCTGACAGTCCATTGAGTGAAATTCTGTTGTGAGGGCCTTGAACGATTGCACACAGATACCAAGAAACCTTTCTGCCACCAGGAAGAGAGACTCTGACAGAAGGAAGTGAATGATCAAGGGATGAACACAGGATCCAGAGTAGAACCAACAGACCCTAAAAGCATCAAGAAAGAAGAGACTAGCCCTGCCGGGTGCTGCATACCTGTAATCCCAGCATTCTTCGAGGCTGAGGTAGGAGGATCACAAGTTTAGGTCCAGCCTGGGCAACTTAGTGACTAAGTGAGATCTTGTCTCAGAATTTAAAGAGAGAGAGAGAGGGCTAGGCTGGTCCAGAGCCATCCATTTCCACAGCTGTATCTGCCTAAGAAAGTCCTTATTAAAAAATAGGAAGTTAATATCAGAATCTCACTGCACATAGTTATAGATTTTTTTGTAAATATGATTAAGTGAACTCTGAAACAGTAATTTTCAAAGCTTTATCGAAGGACTTCTTGGATCCTTGAAGCCCATCAGGGGATCTATAGTATGTGTGCTGCAGGAAGCATGCACGGGGAGGTCTATAAATTTCTAATTTTTCCAACTACAAATCAGCATGAGTCCATAATTTCCTTAAATCTTTCAACCAAAACACGTAACAGGTAACAGCATGTAACAATGGACTGCAAAAGCAGATTGAGGGCTGGGGATTTAGCTCAGTGGTTCCGCCGCCTGCCCTGTAAGCGCAAGGACCAGAGTTTGATCCCCAGTACCAAAAACAAAACAAAAGAACAAAAGCAGATTGAAAACCCACTTGTTATCTATTACACTAGCCATTAAAAGAGATTTGTAAATATGTAAAACAAAAATCACTGTCCTCACTGACATTCTTAGAAAATACAGTAATTTTCAAATAAAAATATTTATGTCAACCTAAATGCGTTTAGCATTATTTTTAAGTGACTTCATGAGTTAACTATTTCTTAATGTGAATCTCTATTATGATAAATATCAGTAGATTTAACCACAAAAACAAAAGTTCTTGGGGAATTCTTAATGTTTAGGAGAATGCAGGATCTTGCAACCAAAGGCTTTGAGAACTACGCTCTTAGGGTTTCTCATCTCATAGTCTCAGTTCTCATCCCCTTGCTCTGACCGGTGCAAAGTTCTAGTGGACAACCTCTCCCAACACACACCTCAGCTGTTGCAAAGCCCCCCACAGTGACGTGGGGGACTGAACTGCCGGGACACACTGCCACCTCCTTCAGACTGCCGGCTTTCTGTTTTAAATGCCCTCTCTCCTCCCCATCACACTATCCACAGTCACTATCACGGCAGGTAACTTCCAGATAACCCCCAGAGAATGTGTGCCGGCTTGTGGTTTTTCAATGAATTTGCAACACTTTTAGAAAGGCTTCTTCTTTTTCTTTCTTTTTTTTTTGGTACTGGGGATCGAACTCGGTACCTTGTGCTTGCGAGGCAAGCAGTGGAACCACTGAGCTAAATCCCCGGCCCTAGGAAGGCTTCTATTACATCTCCCATTATGTAGAGGAGCAAATTTAAACTTCACTGGACAACAAAAACCACAGGGAGGTTATCTCCACGGTTGAGCTTGTCATCAGGATACATGAGCTATAGGGAGGAAAGGTCTCTCTTTAAACACAGAGCCAGCCCTCCTGGGTAATCAGGGACCAGTGGATCTTTCAGATTGAAGCAGTTTGAATCACAGGGTCATCTCTTACCTCACATCAACAGGTTCTTGTCACTTGTTGGTCATTCAGCACCTCTGTGAGTTTACCGCTTCTGCTCCATGACCTGGTGTGTATCTTCAGAGAGAAAACTGATGGTCTGGCAGTGATGATTTAATACAACATTCCCAGGCTGGGGATTTAGCTCAGTGGTTCCACCGCCTGCCTCACAAGCACAAGGTCCTGAGTTCAAACCCTGGTACCCCCCAAAAATATACAACATTCCCTCTGAGCTAATGTGGGCTACACCTGTAATCCCAGTGCTCTGGGTGTTGTGGCAAAGCAGAACAGCTCAGTGCTATAGCCAAGTGTTACAGCTCTGAGGCACAGCCAAGTGTTAGAGCTCAGTGTTACAGCAGAGTGTCACAGCTCAGCATCACAGCTATTGCAATTTGAAGACTCGAGCATCTGATGGTCACTTGAAGAGGTGGAGAAAAACCTTTATTACGACAGTGGGCTCAGTGGAGTTCATACTCCAAAGTCTGAGTGCTTGACTACAAACGGGAGCCTCCTTATATAAGGGTCTATTTGGTAGGTGAGCATGCTCACTGAAGGAGGGGGTGGGTAGAGTTACAGAACATTCCTGAGAGGTCACAAAGTTCAAACAGTTACAAAACATTTTGATACATTCAGCAAGAGCAATGCCCAGAAGCACAACTGTTAGGTTTCTGGAACAAAACAGTCTGTGGAAAAGAAAAAAACATGGAGGTGAGGCAAGGGCCTGTCTTACTGTATAGTATTGTTCTATCATAGGAAGCTGAGGCAGGAGAATCTTAAGTTCAAGCCCAGCCTGAGCAACTTAGTGACTTAGCAAGATCCTGCCTCCAAATAAAAAAATGTAAAAGGGGTGGGGATGTAGCTCAAAGGCCCTGCGTTCAATCCAGTACCCTTCCTCCCAAAAAGGCCTGTGAGGAAAACCTTTCAGATCACTCACCTGTGGGCTACTGGCCACCTCATAAAAGGTGATACCCATACTGTCCATGTCTGGACAGCATGGGTATCCATGGGTCCCGCTAGTAAAGACTTACTCAGAGCTATCAGCATTCTAGGAAGGGAGATTGGCCTGTCTAGTGGAAGTCTCTTTAACTGCCCTCACTGTCCTTCAGCTGCCTTAACACCCTAGTTTCACCCTGTGCTATGATGGTCAGCTTTCTGTGGCTGGGACAAAATACTTGAGGAAATGAATTTGTAAGGAGGAAAGGTTTACCTTGGCCTGTGGTTTCCATCCCTGGGCTTTGGTGAGGGCATACAACACAGTTGAGAACATGTGAGGGAGGAAAACCACTCACCTCATGACTGCCAGGAAGCAGAGAGAGGGAAAGAGGTGGGGTCCCAACACCCCCATCAAGGCCATGCCCCCGATGACCTCACTTCCTCCTACTGAGCCCACCTCTTAAAGGTTCCACCACCTCTCCTTCGTGTTGCCGGCTGGAAATTATGCCTTCACATCTGGGCATTTGGGGGACCCAAAGTATGACAAATCCACTTCTCCAGTTTTTACTGTTATCTTGCTCTTATCAATACCCTACAGCTCAGTTACATTTGCTCCACTTAGTGTCCTTCATAGTCTCTTCTCTTTGCACATGGTATTTCCTCCTCTCGAGGCCATTTCCCTCCCCTCCCCACTCTTCCAGGCTCAGCACAGGGAGCCTCCTTTTATCAGCAGGGTATTCTACAGGCCTGAGGTTGAAGCTTGAATGCATTTGGTGACTTGCCCCAAATGTGTTATGGCCACAACCTATCAGGATTTGATCTCAGGTCCCTTGGCTCTCCATCGACCCTGCTCACCAGGAGTTCAGCAGAGCACTACGGGCACTCCCACGAGTGCCACATCTGCCCCTGTGTGGAGGACTTCAGCCTGGTGCATTGTTAGAGACAATACAAAGGAACAGGGTGTGGGGACACAGACGTGAAATTTCCATTAAAAATCCAACTGTTCTCTTGGTTAAGTGATGGTGACATGGAACATCCAAGGAACATTTTGAAAATATAAACAGGAAATGGGTCAAGCTGGGCGTAGTGGTGCATGCCTGTCATTCCACCACCTGGGTACCAAGCCCATTCATGAGTTTTTAGCTAAATGTGACACTGGAGGTGAAGCCTGGTCAGAGGAGCTGGGTCCCTGGGGGTTGCCTGAAGGGTCTGTCTCCTTCCCTCCTCCTTGGTTCCTCTCTCTGCTTCCTGCTGTCATGCCATGGGCCCTTTCTCTGCCATGCCACCTGCCTTGGAGCCGCAGGACTGTGGACTGAAACCTCTGCAAATTTAGAGCCAAAACAAATCTCTCATTCTTTAAGTCGTGGCTGTTAGGAATTGTATTTCAGCAAACAGAAAGTAACTAAGACAGGAGGATATAGGGACAACCCAAATTAATATTGTGATAAATTACCTTACCAAAATAACTTCAACTTGCTGGGTGTGATGGCACACCGCTGTAATCCCAGCGCTTAGGAAATGGAGGCAAGAGGATTGTTCTGAGTTCCAGGCCAGCCTGGCCTACACAGTGAGACTTTGTCTCAAAAAAACCAAAACACCCTTCAATTCGTTGAACTTCCATGTGCTAAGAATTGCAGTAAGCACTGTTATATAAATAATAACCTAAATGTATCTTTTTTGTATCCATTTTATAGATGAGAAGCTGAGTTTAGAGAATTCAAATGTCCAACGAGAGGCAGAAGAGCTGTAAAAGGCAGGAGATAGGAATGTGAACCTAGACAATCTGAGTTAAACTGCACAAAGAACTCATCTTCAGCTTGGGGCTCAGCTTCTAGCGGGCAAGGGCTGATTAGCTCAAGGCACCAGGAGAGATGGGCTTCTCAGGGCTAGGCCTAGGCCTCAGGTTCAGCACACAATTCAGTTGAGTAGAAAAAGGTACAGATCACAATAAGCAGCAGTGACCTACCTGGGTAGTGCTCAGTATAACCCCAGAGCAACATAAAGATGAGGAGCACAGATTTGCTTCTTTCTTCACTTTCAATCCTGCTCCTGCCAAGCATCCTTCGTCCAAGTGGCCCAGGAAGAGGAGCTGCCTTCCTCTAACTTCTGTCCCCATTTCCTCTGCTGCTTATTGGGGCTTGGCTGACAAAGCTCCTCAACCGTTTATCCTCAGTTGCTAATGCTACCTATGGCTTAACATGAAGTACAGTGGTTCACACCTCACACTTGCTTAGCACAAGACCCACAGCTCCACATTTGTAATTGGTAAGGGTTTCTTTTTCTTCTTTTTGGTACCTGGGATCAAACTTGGGACCTTGTGCTTGTGAGGCGGGCGACAGAACCACTGAGCTAAATCCCTGGCCCCAACCTCCACATTTGAACAGAGAAGAGCCTGTTGCCTAGTTGAAAGCCAAGACGAGTGAGTCTAAGGATATCAGGGACCTTTTCTGAGTTTCAAATTCTTTTTATTTTTTAAGGCCAGGTCTTGCTGTTGCACAGGTTGGCTTTGAATCTCTGGACTCAAGTGATCCTCCTTCCTCAGCCTCCCGAGAAGCTGGGAGTAAAGATACACCCCACTGTATTCAGCTTGAGCCTCAAAAAATTTCCGGTAAATTTAAGTATCTCCCACCTCACAATATTATTTGAAGAATTAATTGAAATATTACGAGTAAAAAAAAAAAAACAAGCACCTTGAATTCTTCCAATTCATTAAAAGTTAGATCTGAATCTTTTCTTTTCTTTTTCTGGTACTGGGGATTTAACTCAGGATCTTGAGCTTTCGAGGCAGGAGGTGGAACCTCTGATGTAAATCCCCAGCCCTAGATCTGAATCTTAATCCACAGGAAAGGAAAGTTTAAGCCAATCACAGATCAATAGTGGATATAATGGGCAAGGAACAGATTTGTGTTTCTTGGGGACTTTATAAGCAGAAGGAAGGAAGGAAGGAGAGAGAGAAGGAAAGAGAGAAAGGAAGAGAGAGAGAAAGGGAGAGAGAGAGAGAGAGAGAGAGAAAGGGAGAGAGAGAGAGAGAGAGAGAGAAAGGGAGAGAGAGAGAGAGAGAGAGCCCAAAGAGCTCAGAATAAATTACTCAGCTATGATGAGGCAAGAAAGGAAATGGAGACTGGAGATGTAGTTCAGTGATAAGAGTGTGCACGTGCAAGCCTGGTGTGTGCAGAGCCCTCGGTTTGGACCCAGCGCTGAGAAGAGGAGGAGCCAGGTGGGGGGGGGAGAAGGAAGAAGAAAGGATTTTGTCAGCAAAGAGAACAAAGTCATGCAATGTTGGAGAACTTGGCAAATTTGGCATGCACAGTGGATAAAGTAGAGCTATTTAGGAGTTTGTCTGACTTTAATTTCCCACTGTTTATTGCACGACCGTCCTTTGGTTAAAGCTTTTAATAGATTATATGAAGAGTGAGAACACATTGAGAACTCCGAGTTCCAAATGAATCTTTGCCCAGTGTCCATCCCTGACAGCAACTCTAAACAGTTTGTTCAGGGAGCGCACTCGTGACTCCCAGGGCTTCAGTGACCATGTTTTTCCCCTGTGATCCCTGAAGACAGAGGGAGAACTGAGACAGTAGGGAGACGCCATTGTGAGCAGAGAGCACCTCTGCAGAGCAGGACAAGGTAATGGGTTTAGGGGATTTGTGCTCTCAGTGCGAGTTCCTTAAGCAGGAAAGTGGTGCAGCAGGGATGGGGCCCGAGTGGGAAAGAGTTGTAGAAGGCACCTGCAGACCAGGACTCTGCCCTCGGGATGCATGCAGCATCCTCGCTGTTCCACAGCCCATCCCACAATTATCTGCAGGTGCCTGAAGGAAGATGTTAGATGCCTTAGGACCCTCTAAAGGCCCATGGGACCATTCCACATGGGTATTTCTTCTTGGTGTTATGGTGTTTAGTCAAGATCATCCAAGGATGACAAATCAAGACTGCAGCTCATAATACCTTGGATGAGGACTAATGTTCAGTAGAGACCTCTGTCCTGCAATCATTATTACAGTGTTTCTTTCAGCCTGCCTATTCTGTATCATGCTCCTCAACAGCATCCAAATCCCAACCAATGCGTAGCGTCCTCGTGTCCTGAGAGGCTCCAAACACATGACCACAGCTCGCTGAGTAGTCCAATGTGGAGCAGGAACAGTGTCTTATTATGAACTAGGAAGCACTTGTCCTTGGCCATTATTCAACTTTCTCTCTCAATATTTTATTTTTATTTTATTTCTTTTTGGTACAGGGGATGGAACTCGGGACCTCGCGCTTGCGAAGCTGATGGTGGAAGCACTGAGCTAAATCTCCGGCCCTCTCTCTCAATATTGAACCTCTCCACCTCTCACTTCTCAAGAGAGGGCCCTTGGAGCCACCCCTCAAGAACAGGGAGAGAGGCAATTACAAAGCAAAAAGGCAGAGTGGTTTTGCTGAGCACACAAGGTCATTCCTTCCTCTGCAGGATTCAGGTCAAGGCTTCGAGGAGTTCAGCTTTGGATTAGGCAAGAGAGAATATCAAAGCTCAAACTGAGGAGTTCCTGAATTATCAAGATGTGAAGCAGCATCACTAAAATGAA